TTTCCCTCGCTGCTACAGGACTTGCAGGCTCCTGAAGGCATTATTATACCTTAATTGCCCTGACCAGCCTTACCTGGGGCCTCCTTGCACACCTTCTGCCCACGTGAGCCCAGGCTCGAGCACCCAGTCCTGGCCTGAGCAATCCCGTGGGTAGATGTGCCTTCAGTCCTGCCCCTGCCTTTATTTTGTGGACAGACCTCACACCTAGATCACAGGTAACTTTCCTCCAACCTGATCTCCTCCATGGACCTCCAATGTGCAGTCAATCCTCTCCCATCTCCTGCTGCTCCTGAGGGAACATCTCAGGCGGCCCCAGAACCTTGAGGTCACCTTGCCTAGGGCTGTCCAAGGACCCTGTCCTCACCACCCTGCCCTGGGTCGTCACCCTGTCATCACCAGGTGGCCCAGCTCCCTGGTTGTTGAGGGCACTGCCTGTGCCCGTGACCCCCAGCTCATCCTTCCTTGCAGAGCAGCCTCGCTCCTGCTGCTCCCCAAGAGGTTGAGATGTTTCAGTCAACTCCTATTGAGTTCATCAGCATTTCCTCATTAAGGAGTGGCTGCATCCATACTTCTTGCCCTTGCCAGTTCCTGTGAACTTGTTCCTCCTCTTCTGCCCGACTGCAGCAAACTTGCAGGCTTGGACTAGAGAGACTGCCACCTGCATGACACCCGTATCTTCTTGCGAGACTGTAACTGAAAACAGGGCTGACCTTCTCACGCGCTTGGTGTGCCAGGCAGCTCTGTAGCATTACTACAGACCCCGCTGCAAGGACAAGGGTCTGTCAGCAGCTGAACACTGGAGGTGAACCATGCCAAGAGCCAGAGCCCTCTCAGGAAGACTAACAGGAACGCTAACGTAAGACATCATTAAAAACGGAGAAAAACCTGCAACATCCAGCAGCCACTCAAATTCTTGGTGAATCCTCATCCTACCACCTGGAGAGCTCTGGTTTGTCAGATCACATGGAGCTTAAACACCACGTGTCAGGTGTGAGAGGTGGAGTACAAACCTAAGCATCTACTTCCACCAAAGGCCAAATGGGAGGCTGGGGGGCAGCTCTGGTGAGAGAAGAATGTGCAAGAAAGATCACAGAATCATAGAATCACAGAATCGTTTGGGTTGGAAAAGCCCTTTAAGCTCCCCCAGCCCAACCGCTCCCCTACCCCTGCCATCCCACCCCCAAACCCTGGCCCTCAGCACCACCTCTGCCTGCCTTTTAAATACCCCCAGGGGTGCGGACTCAACCCCTTCCCTGGGCAGCCCCTTCCAGTGCTTGACAGCCCTTTCGGAGAAGGAATTTTTCCCGATGTCCAACCTAACCCTGCCCTGGCACAACTTCAGACCATTCCCCCTCATCCTATCATCCATTACCAGGGAGAAGAGGCCGACCCCCCCCTCCCTACAGCCTCCTCTCAGGCAGTTGTAGAGGGCGATCAGGTCTCCCTTCAGCCTCCTCTTCTCCAGACTAAGCAACCCCAGCTCCCCCAGCCACTCCCGTAAGCCTTGTGCTCCAGACCCCTCACCAGCTTTGTTGCTCTCCTCTGGACATGTTCCAGCCACGCAACGTCTTTATTGTAGTGAGGGGCCCAACATTGAACACAGTATTCAAAGGGCGGCCTCACCAGTGCCGAGTACAAAAATGTGGTAAAAAAAGCAAAGAATGTGCAAAAGATGTGGTAAAAAAGCAAAGTTAAAAAAAAACCAAACAGGGAACATGGCAAGGACTGAGTGTTATCTCCAGAGAAGCATAAGAAGATGGGGCAGGAGCTAGCTAGGAGCTTGTAGAATTATGGAAGGAAACTGTTCCAACTGACTCATCCTTTATGCATTGAAACAAGGTCTTAATGGTGGTGGTAGTAGTAGGAGAAAAAAAAAAGAAAAGCAAGTGAGGCCATCATCAATTAAAAAGAAAAAAAAAAAAAAGAGAATTTAAAGGATTAGCCCAAAGGGCAAAATCTGTACAAGTCACTGGAGACTGTTTAGAGAGCAAGTGTGTGCCACCAAGCCCAAAAAGATTTGGAGAGGGAGGGGGGCAGCCAGCATGGATGATCTGGGATAAGGCAGCCATGAGATGTAACGAAAAAAGCCTTGGATACATTGAACTTGCATCCAAATGAGCAGGTGACTCAAGGGACAACAAACATGTTTTCAAACGTCAGGAGGAAGTTGGTCAGAGGTTTTTACAATCAAGGTATAAAATGAGTCTTCAAAGAAAAGTCTATCAGAAAAAATTAAGCTCTTGGTATCCACAACCACCACAGAAGAGCCCCGAAAGGTTCCCATCCTTTCACCACAGGGAACTGACGGATCTGACACGGAGACATGGGTAAGAAGCTTCAAAATGAACTGATGAGCAGTAATGAGTTTATGAACGAATGGGATTATGCTCTCATGTTCAAACCCTTAAAGGAATAAAAGATGAACCGTCTGAAGTAAGTTCTCATTGAGAACTGCTTCAGTACTGCAGTACTGGAGGACAGGAGAGTGCCAAATACACCACCACCGTTTTGAAGCGTTCCTGGGGATGTCTGTGGAGCCATAAGAGCAGCACGTCCTTGTCCATACCAATAAAACAGGTAGAAATTCTAATAAAAATTGAATAATGGAATAGCAGAGCTAGAGTGTGTGGGAAAATGTGACATTGCAGAACGAGGTAGGAAATGTCAATGGTAGATCTTATTGGAGAAAGTGATTTTATTTTAAATGAAAACCC